CTCCGCCTTCGCTTTCGTTGTTTATACCAGTGCCAAACGAGACCCCTTTCGCTATTTATCAACAACGGGACGATTATACCACCGAGGTCGCGGTATTTTTGCAGTGACGAGTTTTATTCAGTTGACTATTTTTAGACCTCCTAGCTCACGATATCATCCACGGAGAGTTCTTTTGTGTCTCTACGAATGTCAGTGACCTCTATTCCCACTTATCAGGCGTTTAGCTTCTATTACACTCCCCTCCTTCTTCAATTAATCCAGTTTTCGTACGCTTTGAAAATAACACGACAAACTGAGTCGATTCCATTGCTAAGCTATCAACAGCAAGACACTACTTGTGAAACCCGCAGAGTAGTCACAAGGTTTCTGTATTTTTATCGAAATTCTCTTCATTGTGCACACAACCTGTCAAACATGTTTTTGTAATAATCCTCTCGAACATGTTTATCGGTCGAAATTGGAACCTTTAGGGAGATCATTAGAAAAACATTAAGATTAGTCCTATCAGCCTCTGTATAACATTATCGAACGATCAACAATGCCCTAAACACAGTTTTAACATTCAAAGAAAAACAAATACACGGTATTATCCAGGTTTCAACGTATCGATTAGTCAAATGAGCCTCAAAGCCCCCTCACTGTACAAAAATAAAATGTATGTTTACTTAAAAATTTGATGATATAATACTTGTTTACATGTAAATTTATAATACTACTATAATTTTATTGATTATTTACAATAATTTTTTAAAAATTCACGTTAATTTAATATAAGTACGCAATAGGTACACATTGTGTGCGTACACATCCACGCTAGGTAAAGAGCATTCATAAATGCTCAAGGACGGCTATAGCACAGGACGTGGATTCGAACGGAAAATCAATTTTTCATGCTACAACTGCTTTTAAAAATGAAATCATCCCGATATCGTACAAAAAAAGCAAAACCATCGCTATTTTACAATTAATATACAAGTTGATGCATTTTCCTCATACTAGAATGCAGATAAGTTTTTTAACAATGTTTCTACTAATGTACAAATTCAATGACCACTCCAAACAGTTTTTTATTATTTATTTGTTTTTTGTTTTTTAAAGACAACAAACGTTATCTGTTATCTTAACTTATTCCTATTCAAAAAAGTAAAGTATATTTATGGAAATTCGTACATCGAATGCAAACCGTTGATGAAAAGGCAAGCCGGAGGGGTGAAGAGCAAACACGTTAGCTCTCGTGAGTGCAACAAGTATGAATGACGTTATTTTATAAGCTTATATAACTTCTTATATATAATTTCTTTCAAAAATTCTTAAAATCTCAATTTTATAAATTTATTAATCTTGGGCTTTTTTTTGTATCATGGCATTGGGTGGGTTATCATCTATTCATAGTCGGTTATCGTCTTATTGAGGCGATTTTACTCTTTGTTTACAGTTTGTATTAATTTTCTAACCTAATTTTTGTTTTAACTTAAAAAGCAGTTATGCAGATCCATTGTTTAGTTATTTTTTATCACAAGCTAGTTTAAAAATTGCCGAATTTATCATATTGCCTCGTCACTATCTGGCATAAATCTTCCCAATTATTCTTCGTTTTAATTGATCATAAATTTTTAGATTTTCTTGCTATATTACAGTTCGTTGCACTGTACTTTTTATAACTCTATTTTAATTGTTTATGGTTAATAATTATTTGTAAAGAATGGTAATTTGTATGATTAAAGACAGTAGGTTTAATAAAAATGGTTGATCGTTGTAAAGGATGACAATGCAATATTTCACGTAAATAGAGATTCCCACGGCGATATGTTATTACTAGTGCCAAAATAAATACTCTGACCTCCTCTAAGACAAATACTAATTTGGGCCGACAGAAAAGAAAAAAAACCCGGACCGTGTGGATCTGCCGTCTCTTGCCAGACCGGGTTCTTGCGGCAAGGCATCCCCGCGCTACCTCTTTGTTCTCCCCCACAGTATAAAAGGCGATCGAGAGGGAAACAAGGCCTTGAGGAAGGTCAGGTAAGATCCGAGCCCCGGGGGATCCACGCTCTTCGGGTACCTGATTCACAAACAAATTATTAAAGCGGAAAGGATCTCTGACAAGGTAGAGGTTTCCGGGAGAATAAATCAGACAATAGGCCTTCTGTTTGAGGATGAAAAATGAAGCTGGCGTCATATTTTTAGGAAAGATGAAAATTTTCAACGCTTTCTATACCTCTGACGTCTGAATAGTTTAAATATCTTTTTCGGGTCTGCGGGGTGATGAACCGTCCGAGCTTTTCGGCATTTCACCATCTTCAGTAGTGGGGTTTGTACTTCTCCTATGTATAAATTGTTATGACTTTTGTAGACCATTTAACAATTGCGTTTTGTCAATTTTCTATACTTATTCGGTAATTCGTAGTATTGGTCTTTGTATCTTCCCTATATGAGCCTTTTTTAATAGACTAACGGCTTTTTATACCACCTACATACATTTAATTAATTGTAACATAACTATTTGCTTCAGCCTTTCGACATCTTCAGTGAGTGCTTGAAGATGTAGGAAACTAAAAGTATTCTCAGCAAGAAACTGTCAATTACGTCTATGGTCTGCGACTCTCCTCATGTCTCTTTTTTATAAGACTATGGCTTAAAAAGCCATTCACTTATGACCATAACTTCTGTGCGTGGTTATTTTGCTACAATCAGTAGTTGGTACAAGAAGCTCAATGGTCAATGGTTGGACGGTGCATTTCTCCGTGTCTATGCTCTTTCGAAGTGTTGTAATGACTTCTTAGGCCAACCACTGTAAAAAATAAGTGTGCCTTTTTGTCCTGAACGTAGAAAGAAACAAAACCCATCGAGAAGCCGGCATTTTGGTGGTTGGTCGGTGGGTCTCTTCTTGTATGTCCTTTTTATCAGTTCTAATGGTTTGTAAGACCTCCAATTGTTGATTATATGATAACTATTACATTTCGACATTTTTCCATCATCACCTTTTAACCTAGAACTTAAAAGAAGCACTAAACAAAAGGAGTGGCATTTTGGTCAGAAAGCAAAAAGAGAAATTGAGAGGCATATTGCTCGGTGGTTATTTGCTGCCTCTCCTCTCTATTTATCTTTTCTATCAGGTTTAATGGCTTTTTGGACCATTCAATGCAGTTTTGTAAGATAATAGTTATTTCGTTTTGAACTCTTGTCTTTTCCAATGGTTGATCTAAAAAGTTGGTTGAACCAATTAAAGGATCCACTCACATCGAAAATACATTTTGAGCTGTCGTTGGTTTAGCTACCACTCTCCATGTGTATGTCCTTTTTATCGTTGAGTTAGAAAGGCAAGATGATGACAAATATCACTCAAAATAAGATCTGCATGAAAAATAGCATGGCGTTCATTGCTTGTGTCAATTTATTCTCTCACTGAATATATACAAATCTGAAATGGATATTGATTTCTCGTATATCTTTACCTTCAGTGGGTCGTCGATTAACGAATTCAAATTACACGGCCAGTTTTAAATAGACACTGGAAGATATATTGCTTTTTTTTCGTTTAACCGGGCTGATTTAAACATTTGACAGTGTAACTGTTAAATGATCTCTGCTGTCCGTGTTTCTATTCGGTTAGAACAAAACTTGGACAGGTGGAAAATATTAATAGTTATTGCCTTCACGCCACGCCTTTCCCTCCAAACCAAGGGTGAGTGGAAATTTTGAATGTCACGCTGGGTCATTTTTTTTCTTCAACGGCGACTACCTGACATCTAGTCCTAATGACAAATAATAGCACGTACATAAAACTCTGTGGAAATAAATAAATTCGCAGTTTTATTTAAAGATTTTTAACTGAAATGTTATCATTATGTAGGTCACAATTGAAAGAGCTATCTACTCGCCTTATCAGATAAAGGATTTACTACTCGTGCTTACCCTTGGATGTAGGGATTGCCCAAGAAAGCAAAAATAGACGCCGTTTTGGATTCAGAACGTTAAATTTTTATATTTATAATCATACGTGTACACAAACGTACTGGAAGAGTAGTTTTAAGAAAGAAAACTTAGCCTTGAAGGTTTGCCTCACTATTTATTAATACCTTACAAAAGCACATTCGCACTCAGATTTATTACCAGAGTGAGTGGTGTAACTCTTGGTATTTTTAGAATGGACGGAGAAAAGGAAATACCCAGAGCGTTTAGTTGAACTTTTCATCTCAGAGAGTTTAACGTCTGTTACAACCGCTTAAATTATTATTTCTTTATATATCGCGCTTTATTTATTAATAAATGGTCTTCAACGAGAAAAAACCCCTATTGTTTATTAGAGGTAAATTTGCTCCCAAATTTAAACAGATGCTATAATTTTCATATAGATAGGTTTGATCAGTCATTTCCAGGAAAAAGTAAAAATCGTAGATAAGTTATTAAAAACAATACTTTTTTTGGTACAACAAGCAAAGTAATTGTAAAAGTGTTATGGTACACGGGTAGACAAACTGATTTATTTAAAATGTAGCTTCCGTCATACCTAAATTTAATTATGGCCTATTGTCTATTTTGAATAAATGCTAAGATGTCAAATCATCCCTGATCTTTAATTGTGTCTTTATTGTTTTTAATTCAAACAGTGCGTTTTTTGGAATGTAGATTTTTAAAAGTACAAGTTTAAAGGCAAAAGTACGTAAGGCTTTATACATGTGCTATTTATTGACTTACAATCTCACGCAATGAGCATAATTTTGGTTGATTAGATAACGTCGGGGTCGACATTTTGTCGTATTTTCACATTCATTTCTTCTTTACCTATAAAATTGTAAATGTTTATAACTAGTCGATCTATTTGTCAATTGTTACCGTAAACAGTGCGTTTTTAAAATTTAGAAGAGAAACAGGAATCCAAGGGCCGGTTCCAAGTCTAATTTTAATCCCTTTATATTTCTAGCTCTACTCCATTCTGTAGGTCAAACTTGTTTTCAGTCCTTTTTTTCCTTTAAGCTAACTTTTTTTTTTTCATTTTCTAGAGTTATCGGAAAGTACATCAAGCGCCAAGGAGCCCTCTTCCCAGTCCGAATCTACAACTTAATGGTGCTGTTGACAGCAACATGATGAGCAGTATACCGGATCATTCAGTAAGTCGACGTTTCTATTTACCACAGTGGGAAAAATCCATTGATGAAATGTCTTTTTCTTCTAATCTTACATATAGTATTGATCTTTCCTCCCACTCTACTGACTAAAAACAGGAAAGAGGGGGTGATGTTGATGCCCTAGAAGCCTAACGATATTATGTATACTCGATTGTTTTGACGTTGCGAACTGTATATAATTCCAATAAAGAAATGCTAATTATGCATTAATTATGAAAATATTCATAGAAACAACATATTTAAGAATTCAAAATATTCGTTGTCCCTAGATGATTCGAATCCTGTTTAAAACACGCAATAATTCATCTGTACCCTTTGAATAACTTCCTTGAGATAAAATAACGTTATCCGCTTTGTTTTAATTAATTCTGTGGGCTTTAATCAAGTTGAAAGAACCAAAAATCCTTTCTTTAAACTTGTGTTTTAATATATTGTCAATTTTAGGCTGCTGTAAGAGGTGATAGCAAGGCAGAGCCGCAAGTAACACAGCCTGGCCTTCCTCCTATTGTAAGTACACTCGAGGGAGGGTGGAATAAATAAATAATGAAAAATAAAGTTTACTTCGAAATTTGTTTTAAAAAAGAAAATGAAAACATCAAATCAAACATGAACCAAAGTTTCGAAAAATCGTAAAAAAACAAAACCACGGGTAACCACGTGAGCTGATAAGTTTATTTTATTCAAATAAAACAGACAAAGAAATTAAGAGAAAAATTAAGAGATTGAGAGAAAGAAATTTAAAAAAATACGTCTAACCGTCATGTAATTGAATTTTCATGTATGTACGTATTAGGGCAGGGTTTCAAGGAAGCATTCTTGGCCTATTTCTTTTTTCAATATGCACTACACATGTTAACTGTCAACACATACCTTTGCTAAGAATACAGACTTTTACACTTAATTTGAACCCAATCATAAACCCTCAACACATACAACAACCGAATGAATTTGTTGGCATGGTTTATAAAATAGAAAATAAAAGTGGCAGATTTGGAATCCATATACAACACTGAAAAGGAGGAGCAAACCAATGTTATAAATACTAAAAGGACTATTTGCCTCACAATCAAAACTTAAAAACAAACTTTCAATTTATGAGACAACCATAAGACCTCTCTGGGTGTATGGTTGTGAAGGATGGTCTCAACCAAGGTAATCAAATATCTCTAATCTATTCAGTCCATAATTTTCTGTACACGATCCAATCAAAACCCGCTGTAAAGAAAATCAATCACTTATCGTGCATAATAATTTCCTATTACAACAACTATAAATTCCAGCACTACCACATACCCATTAAGACAATTAAAGCGAAAGTGGCCCTGAGACCTTCTCAGTGAAAAATAATGATGAGTTTTCAGTGTGAAGGTGTGTCCTCACTCAAACAATTGAATCAGCAGAAGAAAATATTTACTATCTTTCTAGTGGTAAAATTAAAAGAAGGTCGTGTGAATTTAATTTTTTGTTTTATAGTACATTTTAATCATATTTTATTAAAATAATGAGTAGAAGAGTAAATTAAATTAATTTTTACATTTATAATACATAGCGTTTAAAATGATAAACCACAAAAACTTTTATCGCAAGCTTTAGATCATTAAAGTATTCTCAAAGAAACTTTGCATAACCAGTTCTACATAGTGTACATAACTCTACACTATTTTTTTAGGCTGGATCTCCAATGCCTTTATACAGCGGGCCAGTTCAGCCAGGAATGGATGGCAACTTTGCCACACCAATTCGGGAACACAGATTTAGTGGTAATTCTGTTTGGCAGCCTGGTTCCACAGATCCCAATGGTGCTTGGACACCACAAGGACAGTTTATTCAACAGATACCACCACCCCAAATTGAAGAATTGAGGGGCTACCCTCAATACGCTGTCACTGGTTACCCCCAACCTACTCCAGGTGAGTTTCTAAGATTCTCATAATTGTGCAATAAAAATAAATGTATGTGATAGTTAATAGTAACGATGCATTGTTTTATGTTTAACAGTAGCTTACCAGCAGAATTCTTTTATGCAAACCAATGGTACTGTATATAATAGTGGACCCCCTCAACAACCCCAACCATCACCTCATAGTTTACATAATGGAAACTCAAGGGCGACACCTACCTTAAATGGAAATATGGAGTATGTAGAACAATCTCCAAGACCGACTGAATATATAAATGGATCATATCCTCATTCAAATCAAGTAAGTAATGCGACAGTTTTTATTTTATTTTTTGAACATTAATTAATTTGTTAAAACAGGACCAAGTCATGGCTCCTCCGACCTCGACCACACCTACCAGCCGATGTGGTTCAGCTCAGCTTGAAAATAGTGATGGGAAATACACTAATCCACCAACTCCAACCACACCAAACAACCAGGGAAACGCGATGCCTGGATACCCACTTCAAATGCCTCCCCAATCAGCACAGAGTTCACACAACTCTAGTGGGTAAGTATTTAAAATCTTTAGATATTTAATGCATTTTTTTTTCAATTACTCATTTACTGTCTGTTAGGTATCCAGGGCAAGAAAATACCACGAACTGTGGAAACTTAGGGGAGAACAAGCAAGATGTGTGGGGCAGTAGTAACACTCAAGAGAATGGTGAGCAAAAGAATGATGGAGACCAGCAGCAAGTTCACAAACAAGATATATGGCCGAACAGTACGGAACAATCAAGCCATCATCAAGGTACATGGGTACAAAGAGAAAATCAGCAATGGTCTAATAGCACGGCAGACATTCAGAACCACCAAAAAATGTGGACAGACGAGCAGCAGAAGCAGACTAATAGCTCTCAGAATGAGAGGTGGCCTAATGTCAATTCCGCGACACAAACTGTTCAACAAAATCAAGTAAATACGTCAAATTGGCCAAACAGCCCCCGAAACAATTTAGAATCCCCACAGAACCAACAACAACAAAAACAAGAACTTTGGAACAATGCCTCTCATCAAGAGCAACAGCACAATGCCAGTCAACAGCATATTGGCATGAATCATCAATCGCTTATGGCATCGAATGCCCAGCAAAACAGTGGGCACAATCAACAAAATAACGGTTTGCAGCTTCAGAACAATGGGCAGCAACACCAACAAGTGATACACCAACCAAAGTCTTACCCTCGTCAACACGAAATGTGGTCCAATGAACCGAACGTCCCACCTCAAACACAAAATCCTCCTGAGCCTTGGCCAAATGACCAACCTCACGACAGTTCTACACAATCAAAAATGTGGCCCACTGATAAGCAAAATAATCAATACTCCGAAAGAATTGAGCTCAACAACAGAATAAAAACAATGATTCTAAACAAACAACAGGTACTTTGACAAAGATTGTAATCACTGTATTGTTATTAATTTTTTTCGCTTCTTTTCAGGGAGTAAAGAAATCGGAGGGAAATGCTACCAACTATCAGGACCAAAAAAACTTGCAGAGTGTTTCAAGCGGGAATTTTTTAGTGCAAGGCCACCATCCTCAGAAATCAGTTTCTGAGGGTGGTGGCACCAGGGACACAAGTCCCATCTACAGCAATCCTGGCAAAACAAAACTGTTTAGCAACAGGTTTGTCGATTCATTGGGATATCCCGACTTGAAACACATAAAAAACAATCAACCATTATCCCACAATTTATACCTCTCTTATGACAACAACAATTATAACTTGAACAGTGAATATTTCTCCCAAAATGGCTTTCATAAACATCCTATAGCCAGCCCAGTAAAGCCATCAAACAGAATGGAGTGTACTACAGAATCTAACTTGAACGTTTCATCCAACATCAGTGTAAAACAGGCTTATTGGTATCAGAAATCGGAACCTTGGGGCCCACAAACCGAATTTATCACCACTTATCAAGGAAAACCTTCATTTGATAGAATCCCTTTTGGTACTGACCCTCGACGGAATGAATTGGTAGAAGAGCTTGACATGAAAGATGGAATTCTTAAAAAAGTACCTGTTAATTACGCTTATCATGGTAGTGGGGGACCAGCAGATATTTCCTCTACAAATGGAGCTTGGTGTTGTAGGCAAGGTAAAATAGTTGTACATTAATATTCAATGTTTAACTTTTCTCTGATGCTCATATTCATCATCAGGTGGTACAGGAAAACCAAGCCCAGAACATTTGGAAGAAGGCTTCTGCCAAGGGTATCAGACACAGGATGAAATGCTTGAAGAAGAATTGGAAATCAAGAAAAAAATGGAATCAATAGATATGAGCAAAAAGCCTGAGAATATGACAAATCAACAATATTACGAATACATCGAAAGGTAATGTTTCTTTATTACATGTTGAGTAAAATCCTACATGGCTGTACTGTTTTTAGACTGAGAAAAAATATAAAAGCTCCAATACCTGAGTGTGATTGTAATCCGACAAACGAATGTGCACCAGAACCGGGAATTATTTATACACAATTGGGGACAGCCTCTACTCTTGAAGAGCTTAGAGTTGATGCAGAAAAACGAACAGGTTTTCAAGGAAAAGCAATAAGAATTGAAAAGATCATATACACTGGGAAAGAAGGAAAAACGACTGCAGGGTGCCCTCTTGCAAAATGGATCATTCGTAGGGAAAATGCAGACGAGAAGTTGTTATTCGTCGTGAAATATCGAACAGGACACAAATGCCCTCTTTCATGGGTTGTGGTCGCGATTGTAGTCTGGGAAGGAGTGGGGCGTAAGGACGCCGATGATATCTACAGCCTCTTAACATATAAACTTAGCAAGTAATAAGATATTATTCAAACAATTATTTAGCAATGAGCTTGGATCATTAATACTCTTCTATATTTAGATTTGGTGTGAAAACTAGTCGCCGTTGTGCTACAAACGATCCTCGAACTTGTGCCTGCCAAGGTCTTAGTATAAGAACTTGTGGTGAGTCATTCTCATTCGGCTGTTCCTGGTCTATGTACTACAATGGATGCAAATTCGCCCGTAGCAAAGTAGTGAGGAAATTCAGACTATCCAATATCGCTGAGGTAGGTATATTTGGAGACAAATTTTAAATTATTGTTTTCTGATAATCAATGTTAATTTTTTTATAGGAAGAAGAGGTTGAAGATAAACTTCAAGGTTTAGCGACCAATTTGGCTCCACTATATAAAACTATAGCCCCAGAGTCTTATCAAAATCAAGTAGCGTTTGAAGAAGAAGCTTCAGATTGTCGCCTAGGTTTGAAACCAGGACGTCCATTTTCTGGGGTAACTGCCTGTGTCGACTTTTGCGCTCATTCTCATAGAGACTCGCACAACATGAGTAATGGGTGTACAGTGGTTAGTACTAAAACTTTGTATATTTCAAATCAGTGCCAGTATCAAATGTACTACTTCTGTTTGTTACTAATAGGTTGTGACTTTGACAAAACATCGAGAATTGAGTAAGCCGAAGGATGAGCAGTTGCACGTTCTGCCTTTCTACATCATGGACGAAACTGATGAATTCGGAAGTAAAGAAGGACAATTACAAAAAACAAAGTCCGGTGCACTTGAATGTTTAGCTGCGTAAGTCCAATTTGTGCATGTTTTAGCTTATAAAAACAATTATTTTTATTATTTGTTGTTCAGGTTTCCTTGTGAAGTTAGAGTTCGAGCAGTACCAGCTTCAACTTGTAGGCGCCAAGGTAAAAAACGAAAAGTGGAAGAAGAACAGCTCATCAACAATCAAATAAACCAAGCCTGTCAAACACCTCCAAATTTATCACCACACCAACTTCTCCAGAGTTCCCAGGTAGTCGTAAAAATTTTCAGAATGTAATGATTTAGGATAATATAAATGTATGCAATTTCTATATCATTTAACATTTTTAAGAATTAAAATCTAATGAAGCTTTAAATAAATGAAGATGCTTAATTAAAACTCTATTAACCTTGCATAATTTTTTTTTTCATAGATTACTTCAACTGTGACTGACAGCCCAGTGCAGACTACTCCAGGGTGGTCTTATCTCAGACATCAAAATTCTCCAAATGTTCCATTATCACCAACTGGGTTAAACACCTCTAAAAAAGGTTTGTCTCAGATTCCATTTTTAATTATTCCAATAATGCCATTATTTATTTGCTTTTAGAACAAATTTGCCAAGATGGGAATCAATACAATAACCAACTTTTCTGTGATAGAGATATTAAGAGTGATCCTGACAGTACTACTCAAAACCAACAATGTTCCCATTGGATGAACAGTGAATCTTTACAAGGGCAAAGCACAACGCAATATATTCAACAAACTCCCCATTACAGCAATTATAGTGGATATGCACCACACATAAATTATGGAAACTATTATAGTACTACCACATCTCCATTTAATGGGCAAAATCAAGCGTTACCAGGAACTAGAATTCCTTTTACTTCAGATCAAAAACATTTCAGAAGTCCATCTGCTTCTCCCAATGGCATATTCAGAAGACCTAGAGGAAGACCACCATCTCGTTCGTCAAACCCCTCTACTGCTCAGCCTGTTGATTCGACATTTCTAAAGCCTAGGCCACCTCAGGAAAGGAGGGAGGGTTCATCATCACCCATGCGGTCTCCTCAAGACCAGCGAATGAATGGAAGTCAGTCTCCCACTGCCAGTGATCAATATTCCCCAAGCACATCTCCCAAAATTCAATATTCACCTGGTTATTACCAAGGACATCACTATAATTACCAGAATAGCCAAGAAAACCAGCCATTTGGCGATAACTTCCAATACAACAGCTTTCCAAGAGAGCAACCACCTTATAGTACTAATATGGTTCAAAGAAGGCTTGATTTTAACAGTCCAAAAGCACCCTTACATTCGCCAGTCGGTATGTACACTTTACATCAAGAATATCAACATAACAGATCACAACAGTTGATGCAAAATTTTGGTCCACAATCAAGATCTGCACCCGTCAGTCCGGTCACCGATGCTGAAAGCATAACAAGGCCAAGATCAACACAATCCGTTGACGGATGTTCTTCTGGCGAACAAAAGCAAACAGATTTCATGTCAGAAGTCAAGCAGTCAAACGATAAAATCAATTTTAAAATGTTTTCACCCTCAAGGCAGCTCATTCTGCCAAATCGTGAGGAAAGCTCTGAAATGCATTACTACCAACCCCAAAACCAGTTTCTACCTCAAATCAAACAAGAAACCAATGATTTCCATTGGGAACCATCATCTTGTAACTCCAACATGTTTAATCCAAACAACAGTGTCGGACTTAATCAGAATCTTAATAATGATTTACAAGTGAAAAGCGTACCATTCAAAACATACCCTGACCCTAATACAATTCACCCCTGCAGAACTATCTCTTGGGATAATTTTCCCAACACCAAGTTTTCAACCTATCAAAAATTGCCAGAAGATACTTCGAACGATTCACCCTCAGCTTCATGGCCAGCAATGCATATTCCAAGCATAAAGCAAGAATTTCAACATCAACAAGATATAGGGCAGAATTCTGGACTATCTTCAATGCTGGAAATGGAGGTAACCCAACTTAAATTTTATCTAAATCTTTGGGCAAATGCTCAGAATTATCAAAATTATTTTATAGATTTAAATAAAGTTAAAATTTAATCAAATTTAAAGTTAATTAGAAATGTGTAGTGATTAGTGACCATTAGTCGATGATTATTCGGAGATCGTGAGATGCAGTCTGGTGTGATGTAGGTTTCAGAAAAACATTTTCTTTATCGTGCCAACGTTTTGATCTTTATTGAGATCATCATCAGGGCCTGGGATTTACAAACGTTGTTTAAATTTAACAAATACTTGTAGGATGTGGGTAAAATGAATTTATACAATGCAAAAAAATATTTTTTATATTGCGCAGAAAACAAACACTTTGAGTGAGTAGAAATTTTGATTGAATATAAAAAATATTTTTTTGCATTGTATAAATACACTTTTTCCACATCCTACATGTATTTGTTAAATTTAAACAACGTTTGTAAATCCCAGGCCCTGAAGATGATTTCAATAAAGTCAAAACGTTGGCACGATAAAGGAAATGTTTTTCTGAAACCTACATCACATCAAAAAGTTACCTGCCATTGGACTATTGTCAACTTCCCATTTACAAAATAATTTGTTTTTTATTGTCATTATGTTAATTGTGTTTTAATAAGGTATTAATCTTTTTTTTTCTTTGTAGAGGGTGGGGAATGCCGTGTTCCCAGTGCGGAACAACTACGGGCCAAATCCGTACCTACCCTCGGATGAAATAGATAAGGAACCGATTGGGCAAGTCTCTCATTACATTCGAAATGAAGAGTGTTTTAGGGTAATTGTTTTTGTTTTGTTTTCTAATATAAAAATATAATGATTTTAATTATATTATTGATAATATTGCAATTGTCGTTTTACAGGATTCTCAGATGGGAGGGGTCGCAATCGCACTGTCTCATGGGTCAGTACTGTTTGAATGTGCAAAACATGAAATACATGCAACGACGGCTATTCAGAATCCTGACCGAGAAAATCCGACAAGAATCAGCCTTGTCTTTTATCAACACAGACATCTCAATCGGCCTAATCACGGCTACTCTGAATGGGAAGAGAAAATGAGATTGAGGAAACTTGGGAATGGATCAAGAACCACTTCGACACCACCGACGCCTCAGAATGAAGCGAACTCACCACTGGTTCATGCATCTTCACCCACGTATCCTACGACAACCTGGACGACGCTATTTTCCACCCACCCGTGCACTGTAAAAGATGCTGCTAAAGAACTTATGGTCGAAACTCGAAGTTAGCCGGTTTGAATGTCTATCGATTTGCTGTGAATCGAGTGTAATCATCTAATGTTAATTTTTGGGATATGTTAATGAGAATGAGACAGAGCGAAGAGCAAAAATGCGATTGTGTACACCTTATGCACAAAAGTGTTTGAATGGAAGTATGTGCAGTTTTCGGTCGAATGGTTAATTTTGTGTTCAGTTCATCTATTTGCAGTATTACATATCACAGAATGAGCTAGTCTTGACTTTAGAACCGATAACAAATCATTGTTTCCAATAACTGCTTGCTAACTGAACCATCAATGGGAAAAGTGATCTCAGAGCAGTTTGAAACTTGCCAAAACATGTATTGCCTTCATGAAAAACCAACCACATCGTGTCCCGAAAAAAAAAACCAATTTCTAAACATGTAACATATAGTCATTTTTATTTCTCGTGTGTTCAGTGTGGCTGTTATTATTTATTATTGTATGAATGTGGAATGAATGCGACTTAGTAGTTAATGGACTATTAGATGATAAGGAAATGCCAAATTTGTTTGTTTTCGTTTTGGATGTGAGAAACACATTCCAATAAATTATACATATATTTATATATCAGGCTGCGAACAATCTTTGTTAATTTTATACTTCTCTTAATTACTGTAAATTCTCTTGTAAATACTGGTATTTTTATATTAAACCTCCCTCTCTTAGACTGTGTAACACCACGAGTCCTTTTGTAATGGGCATAATATATACTTTCCACAATTTAATCTAACACTAGTCATGACAACACTCTGATTAGGGTATACAGTGAACATTCAAACAGCCCATCAGTAAATTTTGTAAATATCATAATAAATATATAAATATATATATATTGGTGCGATTTTTAGAATATCATGTTGAAATTAGTTTTGTATAAGTTATCATATTTATCAATATTAGTAAACAAGATAGTGGATTGAATTATCACTACAAAATTAAAATTGAGGAAAAATACAAAACCCCCCTGTACTGACTAGGATATAAGTTGTATAAGTTATTATTAAGTTTTGTAATAAGGAGAAAAAGAAATTTCTATTTCTGTCTGTTTTTAAAATGGGGGATTTTTATTTAGGTTTTTGCTCATTCTCCTCCAAAAAAAAGAAGTTTGTATGATGTTATTATTAATCAAAGGATTATTATAAATCTTTGAAATCAAATTATATATTACAAGTTTAGAAAGAAATGATGTGAACATTAGAGGTCTAAATACACTGCCATGGATGTATACACGATTGAATTTCTTTAAAAACATTTATCATTATTAGGGACAATAATTATTATTCAATTCATTCAAACATTAAAAACTAAAAAAAAGAATTCTAATGTTCATATCAGAACAGTTATTATCAATAAGAGTCCAATGTACAATACACCTCAACCTGTTGTAGAAATAGTATTGTAAAATCTATAGAGTATTTTCATGCCAATAGAAAGAAGATAAAAATAAAAAATTGTTACCTAGTTAGAAATGATACATCACATATAACAATATCTTTTATACAAAAGTAACAAAATATTTTAAAAACTAAGCTTGCCTTGTGGAAAGATAGATTAAAAGGATATTTTTTGAAATTGTATAAAGCTGAAAAAGAAGCAATATAATGTATATGTATTTGTGAATGTTACTGTGAGATGTCTGTCATGTGATTATTGTGAAAATTGTAATTTTTACAAATATGTTATAAAGCTTTTAAATTGGGCGAGCTTCTCCAATCAAGTACAAAGCAGTTGAAGTTGTTGCAGAAAAGTAACAATTTTGTTTATTTCAGTCTATTTTTTCTTTTATTTAAAAAAAAAATTGTTTGACTCTAACAAAAACAAATTACAAAGACATTGAAATATAAATCAGAGTTAAGAAGTAGTAATCATTAGAACGTAAAATATATTTTTGAATATTGAATTTAGTGGAAGATAGAGTTAATGAGACAAAAATGGAAAAGTTTATATTGACTCCTCTTGAAGCCAAAAATAACAGTTTGTTATTGTGAAGCGGTCGGGAAACAATCAGGGATAAACTACTATAAACTACTTGGCTCAGTTAGATGCAATTACAATGTGATTTTTATAATATGCCAATTAATACTTTGGAAAAGTACAACATTACTGTGTTTTAAACTCGAGTATTATTTTGTACACATGTCTTCCGGAATCGTATTTAATTTAATTCAATTGGAAAAATTCTGGGCTTTTTTAAATTTTATTTAATTGTTTTTTGTTTTTACATGGAAATGAACTTCTGGTTGTTTTAATTTTCTCATATTAATTTAGTAGTTTTAATTAGTATAGTTTAGTAGTGCAAACATTGTGACATGAGGAGATGATAGAAAAAAAATTAGTCCCATATTGTCAATTGTTTTAAATGTGAATATACTACCATTTGAATTTGTGAACAACATTTGTTTTTCCCTAAAATTTCTCTTATTTATTATTGACTTTAGGATTATTTCTATTTACTTAATTCGCATGATGCGTGCAGGATATCTCCACGTTAAATAAATAATTACAAAAAGGAGAATTATGCGTTTTTTATGTTTTAAACCCTTCTCAATGACTGATTTTTTTAAATTAAATATATTAATTAATACAATCTTTAATGTTATTTACAACATGTAATGAGTTAAATTTACAAATGACATGGATCATGTCGTGAGGGGAGATAACCATTGTTCCCTCCCAGCTATATGCAAGGACTAGTACAAATTCAGTAAGCAGCGAGGCCATCTCCTCTTCAGACGTCTGTTGGGATTAGAAGGGGTGGATTCTATTGGATAAGAACTGGGCAACTCAATTAGAGTAAGAGGAGAATTTAGTGTTGAAAGTGGAAAATGTTTTGGGAATTATTTTTTGCCCAAAAGGGATTTTGAGGTCATTGTGAAGAGTGTTTGTTGGAAACATGTAAGGAGCATTGACTATGATTCTGAGGACTTTGGATTGGAAGGACTGTATTGTTTGGTTGTTGGGAGGCTTGGTGGTGTCCCACAATTCTAGTCTGTCCAGATTGATTTTTAATATTGCCTTGTAGATTCTCAGAATGTTTTTTAAAGAAACGTTAGATTGGTGTGATAGTAATCTGTAGAGTATTCCGCAATGTTTGTTTAATTCCTGTCGTTTTAGCAATGTGTGTGTCGGTTCCAGGTTAGTCATGAATATAGATAGACCCCAAGGGCATGGACGCAGTCTATTTTTGGAATGGGAGTATTATTGAGGAATATTGTGAGGGGTTTTTCTTTGAAGTGTGAATGATATAAGGATGCTTTTGCTTTCTTTAAGCTTTGTAGCACTAATATGTGTGTGCTGCATTCATTTACTTTCAGGACATGTGCCTGGAGGTCCTCTGAAGCAATTGTGAGATCGGGATGAGAGGATAGCACAACTGTGTCATCAGCAATGGTTGGTGGAGGGTGAAGTTGGGATATCTGTGCTGTAGAGAAGGTAAAGGATTGGTCCAAGTACCCTGCCTTAGGTACTCCCACTCCCCGAGGACAATAGACAGAGTAAGCTGATCCTTAGTAGACTCTGAAGAATCGTTCGGTTAGGTAGGAATGAAGGATTAGGTAGAGGCTATTCGGTAGGATGTGCCTTAGTTTGTACACGAGACCTTCATGCTCATGCAGTCAAATGCTTGCAACACATCAAGAAAGGCTCCTACACAATATTCTTTGTCCCCAACACAAAACACTTGCTGGGTAGTGAAGTTTTTGGGTTGGAAACCAAACTGATGGTCTGGGAGGAGGATGGGGAATTGAGTGTTGGGATTAATAGATTTGATCCCCTTTGAGAGAAATTATGGTAGAAAAATATAATAATTATGACAGAAACTACCCTGTCTGGTATTAAACTTTAAAAATAAATAGAAATCATTGCCTTATTTTTTTCCTATTGTAAATAATACAAACACACAGAATACAACAATTTCAGTCACCTGAGTCAAGCGTTTTGTCATTTCTACAAATCACCCCTGGAATTATTTTCTCATTCCCCTTTATCCAAAAATATGATGAAAATATGACATACTACATAGAATCCATCTAATAAGTTATATCAACCCTATTGAGTGTCTGTTTAAGGCTGTTAAAGTTAAAAAATTTAAAAAAAGCAATATATGAACTAATTTGTTCTACTATCTGTTGCCAGACCTATTAACTTTACAACTGTCAAGGAACTAACTGAACTGGTATTTTTTTAATTCTTAAAATTATATTATATGGGTTGATGATTGATCATCTTGGTCTGCCCACCCTCGCTGATGCCTGTCAGAAAGTTCTCTCCATAGAAATCACCCAGAAACTAAGATAGTGAAATGCCGAAATGTGTCTGATCAACTATATGGTAACTATCAACTATATGTTTATCATCCCGCAGACCACAGGAGGAAATGCGATAAAATATTATATAATTTTGTTTTATTTTTATCAAAGGACTCAATCTTATCATAAAATAAATCTTTATATGTTCTGCTTTGTCACTTTGTGCAGATTCTGCAAAGAGGATGAAGAGACCTCCATTAACAACGGACTATGGTGCCACTCTTTTCCACACATTTATTGAGGTGTACAATGAAACCGTACTTTTGACATATTCTTTTTCAGGCAAAGATTGTTGAAAGAAAAATTGTAAATAGTAATTAATAATGAACAGATAACTAGCTAAATAATTTTCTTTTTCTATTAATAAATGAACTACAAGTAACTTTTACCAAGTTAGAAGTTATATCACACTAGCGTATAAGTTATGTCTGGTTCTACATTTACATGTATTGCCGCAAATGTCCAGGGATCCGTAGGACAGTTAGAACTTGACCTTCAGTTTTGAGTCTTAAGTGAATATGAGAAGTCATGGGTGATCTGAAAAATTTCGTTTTATTGCTGTTAAGGTTTCCGAGGAGTCTGCACATACCGATATTGGTAGAGTATTAGGCCCTGCAATGTATTGTGTCTTAGTAATGTAAAAAGAAAAGGGAGATGTTTGATCACGAAGGGGTTAACCTGAACCACTGGAAGGCTTGATCAGAAAATGCAGGAAATCATCCTCAGTGAGTATCTTTTTGCTAATAGAACATGTATATGTCTTTGGAAACTTTAGGAAATACATAGCTAACCAAGATGTAATTGTCAAGGGTCCTTCTTTTAAATAAGGTACAGTAGGTACATTAAGCCAGAAGGCTGCCTGCGGAGCACAAACCCCGCTTCTTAGCATCCATCAAGGTTAAGTCAATCTAAGTAACAAGAACGGGAAGAATCTTCGCGAGTATCTTTTAACATCAGAAATATACAGAAATGATGACGGTGTGGTGGGTTTGTAGATTACGTTTAATAAAAGATCGTTCTACTCACGAATTTGTTGTTTGCTGGATTTCGAGCATTAAAACACTTCATCGGCTTGAAGAAGTTACGAGCACGTCTTTCGACACGAACTGTAAGAGTGAACCCGCCGATCCGCCGCCAACGCCTTCCAGTGAGAATTCCCTCCCTTTGTTGAAACTGTGTTACATTGTTGTATTTAAATTTAAATTGAAATTGCGTTTGGTTTTATTTAGATAGTACTTAAATGCAGAAAATTTGTTCGATCTAGGCAAGTTTTTTTAACTCCCGTTTTAATTTCTCTGCCGCTTTGTTCTTTATATTTAATATCGCAATCATTATAATTAAGTTGGTAAACCCTGCTTTTTGACAAGTTGTCAACCTTGTCATTAGGTTGTGATCGGATGTTTGTAAGTGAACGGCGTACAAAAGCGACTCTAAAACATTACGTTTAAGAATTGTACATCCTTTTTTCTGATAGTTCACCAATATATGGCAAACAACGAAAAAACTATTGATTCATTTTTAATGGGATGGCTGAGTCCGATTGTTGCTTCTGGTAAAGTTTATTTTTTATGTTTTTACTAGCAACTTATCAATGAATGTTTCTTGATATATATTGTTTTTACCTAAGGTTTTAATTGTTTGTAATTCTTTTTTTATATATATTTTTTAATAATTAATAATTAGCAGGTGTTAATGAGAGGTTCAACATGTACTGCTAATTATTGGGCGGCAATAAAAATTCTTTGGAACATCTAGTTGGCGGTGGATCGACGGGTTCACTCTTACAGTTCGTGTCGTGAGACGTGCTTGTAACATCATCAACCTGATGAGCTTTTTAATACTGGAAATCCGGACATCGAAAACAAGAAATTTGTGAGTACAACCATTTTTTTTTACAAATAGTGAGAAATGTACCATGTACCATTGCGTATTCATCGTCAGAAATAAGCGACAAATTGAGAAGGGTATCGTAGCTTTAGAACAATGGCTGGTCGATAGGGCTCAAGCGGAAAGTTTCAAACTTAAGTGTTTAAATCTGTATTACGCACTGGGTCTGTTATTGTTATATTATAATTGGCAGAGGTGTACACGTACATCCATAATCGATTCTAGATCTCACGGGACTTTCATATAACCTGGGAAGACTTGGTCCGCACCCCATCACCGGTAAAACATACCGTTTTTATATGTTCAGAGGGATATAACTCAAGGGATGGATAGAGTCATTAGCTCCTGAGACAAAATCCTCAAGAAAATTTGTGAGAAGAAAGAAATTGCCACCCATATTATCTTCGAATGCAAAGTAAATGCTCAATGAAGACAAACCTCGGGTACAAAGAAGACCCGAGAAAAAACATTGAAGTATAATATTCAATGACCTAATTTCTGAAAACAAGGATCGAGTCTATTGGACAGAACTAAGTAATTAGGAAAAATAAAAAGTACAGTGCTTAGGGAATATCAAAACCCCGGTTTCTGTTATCATGTTCAGAAACTGAATGCACTAAGACGACAAATTTTAAGTGCATCAGTTAAGAGTTCTGTCAAATTTAAGATCTACGTAAATGCGGTCTTGAAGTGAAAAGCAAATTTAGTTATTACTGCTAAGCTTTCGACTTTATGGTCATTATCAGGTCAAAACAAGCTTAAATATGTCTACAGGTTGACGTATTGAAGCTATCTCAATATGGCAAAAAGAGGGAAAAATAAGAAGGGTTGTAGGTTGAGATGAGTTGGTATCGACGTCACGTAGCTCAAGTGTTTAGAACAGCGGTGTATTGAGCCGAAGGTCGTGGGTTCGTATTCCGCTTGTGACACTTGCTTTTTATTCTGAACCAAGACCTTACACTAAAAGTATACTCACGAAGACTGGATCAAGGTCTTGAAGAAGAAAGCAAATTCAGTGGCCAAGTTTCGACTTATTTTAAGGTCATCATCAGCGCAAAACATCTTAAATAGTTGTCACAGTTCTTGGCAATGTTGGAAATGACCTGTAAAAAACTTTAACGTGTCGATCTTTAGACATATTTAGGATTGTATTGCCCTGATGATGATCTTACAATACGTCGAAAACTTAGCAGTACAACTGAATTTGCTTTCTCCCTCAAGACCATACCTTGAACCACAGTGTTCGTAATTTATGACTACTAAATACTTATATGGATTAAATTACAAACACTTCAAATAGCAGGTAATAATAATGGTAATG